GCAAAACTCCGTCTCAAAAAATAAATAAATAAATAAATAAATAAATAAATAAAGAGAGCAATAGATTACAACCAACTGAATGCAATAGAAAGCCATTAGTCCTTGCTGCTTTAAAGTTGTAAATAAGTAAGTTGGCATTTCGTAGAATATAAACTAATAAATACAGAGGAATCGTAGAATTAGAAAATCATCATCATTTCATAAACATGATAATTGATTCCAGTATGAATAAATGAAATGCTAAATCTGAGGGTAAAATTTCAGTAAGAAACATGATGTCTGCATGGTTTCAAAGTAAGTCTCTACAAGGTACAGCTAGGTTAATAAATGCAAAACACGTATTAATTTTATAGCAGATAAATTTAGCAGACACTTCATAAACAGGTAATAAAAGTCAAAATCTCAGTTGGGCGCAGTAGCTGACGCCTATAATCCCAGCACTTTGGGAAGTCGAGGTGGGCGGATCATGAGATCAAGAGATCGAGACCATCCTGGTCAACATGGTGAAACTCTTATCTCTACTAAAAATACAAAAATTAGCTGGGTGTGGTGGTGCACACCTGTTGTCCCAGCTACTCAGGAGGCTGAGACAGGAGAATCGCTTAAACCCAGGAGAGGCAGGGGTTGCACTGAGCCAAGGTCGCACCGCAGCACTCCAGCCTGGCAACAGAGCGAGACTTCATCAAAGAAAAGAAGAAGTCAAAATCTCTAATAATGAGACACATTGACAGCAGATGCCTCTTAATATGATGAATGAGAAGATAACAGTATTTCTGTGGCATCCCTGCCAAAAATAAATAATGAAGAAAAGTGAAATGCCCTAAATTGAGAGACATCTTACTAAGTGACAGGTCAACATTTTTGAAAATACCACGTCATGGAAGATGGTCCTTATCCCATTTCCATCTCTCCTAGAAAAGTTATTATATCCAGTCTTTCATGCTTTTATAATATTTATCTTACAGAAAACACTTTGCCTCCCTGGCTACTTGTAGAATTTGGTTCTAATATTCAATATATATTCTATTTTAAAATGCTAATAAGTAAATTTCTGAAACATAAGTCCCAGTGGTAAGAAGGTAGGCATGGAAAAAAAAAAAAAAAGAACAACAAAAATACAAAAAATAAATAAATAAAAGTGGAATTTTAATCACCCTAAGCCTCAGTTTCTACATCTGTAGAATGAAAATAGTGAATTGCTCTCTCAGAGGGCACTTATGAAGACCGAGTGAGATAATCCTTTGAACAGACGGCACTTGTCTGGCTAATAACAGTAAACGCAGGAGATCCTTCCCTACTTCCAGAACTTGCATAAGTGGGCATCACTTGATAATTTGTATGTTCAAGAACTTTTGAATAATTCCCATTTATGCATAATTTGTTCATTCTACAGAATATTATATTCATATTTTCTTGCTTAGTTGTTTTCAAACTATACTTTTGTTTATTTGTTATTTAAATTACAAGCTCTTGGCCAACCCAGTGGCTCACACCCGGAATCTCAGCATTTTGGGAGGATAAGGTGGGTGGATCACTTGAGGTCAGAAGTTCGAGACCAGCCTGGAAAACATGGTGAAACCCTGTCTCTATTAAAAATACAAAAAAACTAGCCAGGTGTGGTGTCACACACCTGTAGTTCCAGCTATTCAGGAGGCTGAGGCAGGAAACTGGGAGGTGGAGATTGCAGTGAGCACAGGTTGCACCACTGTACTCCAGCCTGCATGACAAAGCAAGACTCTGTCTCCATAAATAAATAAATAAATAAATAAATAATAATTACAACCTTTTAGAAAATATTGTGAAAAACAAAATTCACACACCAGTACAAATTTTTCCCTCATCTTCTTCACCCTTATTCCTGGTCTTCTATTCAGGGGTAACCACTACTGTTACATTTTTTAAAAATCAAATATATGTGAAGTCTTAATTTCTTTTTCTTTCCAGTTTTACTTCACATCCCATCTGCCTCTTTCTCCTCCTCACCCTCCTCCTCCTCCTGATACTGCTATCTGCCTCTTTCCAAGTTATTCTGGTTAATTATCTAAGAAGTAGCCTTTCTTAATATTCTGGAAAAAAAGACCAAAGTATTTTGTTATGTAATCTCACACAGACACACAATTCAGAAAATCATATTTATGGTGCTGTAAATAATTATTTTATAAAACTGGGACCATGTTTTGTATCTTTTTTGCTTCTTTATTTGCTCACTTAGCAATACCCTAGGAAAATATCTCCAAGCCATCTGTTAGACCTATAGTTCCCTATATTAGATGGATGCATATTATTCTCTTCAGTGAATACATTAATTATTCAGAAAATTACCTACCAGAAACTACATTTTTCTCTATCTTTGGTCATTAAAATGTGTCTACAGTAAACATCATTGCCCATGTGTCCTTACATACTGTTAGTCTCCCTTCCCTGGGAAGGAGTCCCAGGAGTAACAGTGCTAGATTGAGAATATATGTAGTTTATAAGAAACTATTGCCATAATTTCTCACCAGAAAGTCTGTTACATTTTAAATATCCACCAGTAATCTGTGAGTAACTTCTTTTATCCACTTTAGCAATAAAATTCATTTATCCTTTTGTTTCTGATCTGGTGAATACGGAGAGCTTTATCATCATTACTTTAATATATCCTTCTCTTAAGAAGGAGATGTTGAACTAAAAAGAAATATTTCTATATTTGATAACTTTGTCATATTTCCTTATATCAATTGATAATTTGAATGTGCATTTTTTTTTTTTTTTTTTTTTTTTTTTTTTTTTTGAGACGGAGTTTCACTCTTGTTACCCAGGCTGGAGTGCAATGGCGCGATCTTGGCTCACCGCAACCTCCGCCTCCTGGGTTCAGGCAATTCTCCTGCCTCAGCCTCCCGAGTAGCTGGGATTACAGGCACGTGCCACCATGCCCAGCTAATTTTTGTATTTTTAGTAGAGACGGAGTTTCACCATGTTGACCAGGATGGTCTTGATTTCCTGACCTCGTGATCCACCCGCCTCGGCCTCCCAAAGTGCTGGGATTACAGGCTTGAGCCACCGCGCCCGGCAAATGTGCTATTTTCTAAACTGCCTATGTATTTTTTTTTCCTATTGAGCTATTGGTAGTAATTTTTTTCAAAATTGTTAAAACTTTTTTCGATGTAATAGGTACCAAATATTTTTTCTATAATTATATGTCTTCTAATTTTATTCATCTAGAAAAGAAATTTAAATGAATCTGCAAATTACAGAATATAAAAAATAAAAACGTATTACATTGCTGTTGTATTAAATACTGTACTATAAATAAACTTTAAACCAGGCAATTTAAGGGGCCAGATACTATTCTGAACTGAAGACCTTAGAAACTAAGACTGAAAACTCAAAATCCATGAAAGAAAATATATACTATATATATTGGCTACACATTAAGTTTTTAAAAATCCATTTTATGTAAAATATACCATAAATCAAATTAGTAAGCTATTTTCTTGAGATAAATGGTGGCTTGTTTTCTGACATAGAAATCAAAGGTTTAGGAACATGACCTTGGATTGTGTCTTAGAGATTTTACACATAAAATAAAAAATTTCTTCCCTTGGCATGTGCAATTGTGAGTTTAAAAATAATAATAACAAAAATGAAGACTTCTTTCCTGATAGAAGTAATTAATTGGCTTTAAGGAACTCATGAAATAGTTTACAGAAGAAAACGAACTGCAATTCAATAGCACAAAATTCAATTTTTCTTTGATAAAGAAGTATTTTAGTCCCCATTGTCATTCCTTTTGCATTACAAAATGTTGAGAATTCAGTCTCTAGAGAAAAGATTTTGCTTAGCAAATCAGTTTCGAAAGAGGAACATCACTTCATAGAGACCTCCTCCCTGTCTCCTCCCACTGGGTGTGCTGTTAACTGCTATAAACTGTGGGGGAAGAGTTTTGCAATTCAGTGATTGAGATTTCTGCCAGAGACCAAAGCAAACACTAAAATCAGTAGAGAGAATTCTTTTATGCATTTTGCAAAACTGACTGGAAAAAGTCTCCGAAAATAGCAGCTGACACCCTAAATTCCAAGTGATGTGATGCTGCATGCCACATTCTGATCATCTGCAATATTTCATCCTTATTATTCTCTAGTTAACTCTGAGTAGAGACTTCATGACTTGCTGCATATTAAGGGGAATTAAAGTAAGTGAAAGAAATTTCATGAAATCAATTATACAACTGAGTATATGAAGACATTGTATCTGTGCACTTTAAATTAGTCCTCTTTGAACTCAAGGCTTCTTAGATTAAAAAAATAAATAAATTGATCTATCTCTAAAGCTTAAAATGGAGGTAAGTAGAATACTTTGCTAAAAATTATGAAATAAAATTACATTAAAATTTGAGTGTTCTAAGCATTCAGGTTATAGTCTGTTTGTAGTTCAAATCTCAGCAAAAACCAAATTATCTGCTGGAAAAATCTGACTTAGCTTCATCTTTTATGCACCTTACTTTTATACATAATGTTATTTTGAACATATTCATAATCTCTATGGGAAATACGAACTTTAGAGCAGGTCAGTCTTTGGTTCTAATTTTCAGTATGCTGCTTACAAGCCCTAGGATTTTGGGAAGGTAATACCTTTAAGCATGTAAATTCAGGTTTCTACCTACAAAATTAATCTTTTATAAACAGGAATTTTTTTATTTTACAATCTTCCTTGTACAGTGTATCAGCTATGTGGAAAAAACGGTCCTATGATTCATTCTTATACTCCAGCAAAAAGACGGTATTTGGAAATCTATCTCTCAGAGATACGAGAAACTTTAAGAAAGCATAGAAGTAAATAGTTTTTATGCTGTAAGGAAAGTAGCAGCCCTATAATGTTACAGAAAATAAAACTGACACTCAAAGCTATTAACTAACTCACCCAATTATACAGTGACTTCTGCTGGCAGGTTTGGGACTAAAACTTCTGTTGCCTCTCTTCTCTCGATGTTTATTCCACAGTGCAATTTAAAAGGATGCTTCCAAGACTCTGTTGAACCTCATCTTTTTTAACGTTAAAAAATCTATAATGAAAAAATTCAAGAGGGAGATGACACATAAAAGGTCAACCAATACACAGGTAAGAAAGGAGATAAGGCTGTGTATTCATCTAGGCAAGTATTCTAAACTAGGGGTTAAAATATCCTAACGTGGTCACAGGTAAAAACTGTCAAGTTTCCCTCAGCAGCTTTCTAAAATTCTCTTGCATTAACTTCTGTTTTAATTCAATTGATTGTCAGGCTTTCTTTCAGATCTGCTAGGTATTTCACATAATTCAAATGTTTTGTTGTGCTAGTCAGTTGAATGTTTACTATTCAAAATAAGAATAATTGTATCTGGAGGTGCTGGCAATGCGATTTTATCGGAAAGCAGAGAAATCTACCACCTTTAAGATATTAGCCACAATTGCAAGCAATTGGAGCAGGTGTTAACAGTTAAATACTCAGTAGCCTATCGGATATAATCTTAAAGATGCAGATAAGGGCTTCCTAGTTTTTGTTTTGTTTTGCTTTTTAGTTGTCAACAAACACTTTAATCCTAAAATTAGGGACATAAATCAGAATTCAAATTACTTAAACTGTCTGAAATACAAAAGGATACCACATCTATTTAAAGATACCCTTTTAAGAGTGGATAACTATTTGAGGTAACAGTGTGTGCAGAAGATGAGAAAGTGTGCAAAGATGAGTAAGACAGAACGAGAGAATTCAGTGGTCTGAGATCTCCCGCTTCCTCGCCTCACTGCTTTCTGGCCGCATCATTGTTATTCAGCTCCAGGGCTTCCTAGTAGAGTAAGAAATATTTCCGCCTCCTTGTGCCCTTACTCCAGAAAGTGAGGGGATATTACATAATTGGATACACTAGTATATTAATGACGAAGCAGTTTATTTCTTTTGTGAGGACTGAATCTCAGAGTGAGGCGGTCACCTAGTTTAAAAAGAGTTAGCTGATTCTCTCCTGTAATCCTCAGTGAGAGGGCTTTTTGGTCAGGCAGTCTCTTAGCTGAGTTCTAAGGAGGAAAGTCAGACAGAGGGCCTGGTCGGGAAGGAAGGGCCACTGACCCAAGTTAAAGGAGAAAGCATATACAGCGTCTTTAACAGTGAGATACCTCCCGAGCAATAAATGAAGGGAGAATGTGTTTGAGAACAGGAGTGACTCTGATAGTGACTATGTCAGGACAGCAGGGGTACATTCAGCAGTCCTGAATAAACTGGAGCATTTCAACCATCCCAATATGATGAGTTCGAGGGGATCTCTTCAACATGTGTGCACTTCAGAGATATTGATATATACGAAATCTCTCTTTAACTGTTGCCATTTGTCTTGTTTCCTCTGATTCCTACATTCCTTGGCCATATGTATTTTACCAGTAAGATACAAAATGCTCCTACAATCCACCCTTTAAAAACTCTTTGTATGGTCAGGCAAGGTGGCTCACGCCTGTAATCCCAGCACTTCGTGAGGCTGAGACAGGCGGATCACGAGGTCAGGAGTTCGAGATCAGCCTGGCCAACATGGCAGCCTCTACTAAAAATACAAATATTAGCCAGGCTTGGTGGTGAGCGCCTATAGTTCCAGCTACTCAGGAGGCTGAGGTAGGAGAATCGTTGAACCTGGGAGGTAGAGGTTGCAGTGAGCCGAGATAGCGCCACTGCACTCCAGCCTGGGTGACAAAAGCAAGACTCCGTCTCAAAAAAAAAAAAAAAAAAAAAAAAAAAAAGTACTTTCAGACTGAATTTTAAGGAATTATCAAGAGAGCTAAAAAAATTAAATTTCTTGTAATATTTTCATCCTCATGGGAATCAAAGTCTTAACTAAAGCAATGCTAGTCTGAAAGTAGAATACAGAGAATAAATTGGTCAGCAGGGTCATTAAAATTATAAAATTAATGCCTGCTTATTAAAAACTTAACAAAAAATAGGTAAATTTATAAGTAAATTTGCTTTATTCACCCCCATTTTGATTTCTGAGGGGTAATAGTTTCTTCTATATTATTCAAAAGTAGCTTTTAATTTATATATTAGTATTCATATTATACTAATATTATATTCCTTTCTTAAACTGATGGAATCATGCTATACAAATGTTCAGTAACTTCGTTTTTTCACTTAAAATACTTTTGAATATCATTTCATACCCATATCTGACTACAAATCTCAATTTTCTTTTCAGGTGAGAGTTAGGAGGCATTTTTTAGGAAGCTAATGGTTCTAAAATAAGTAGAAAAATTAAAATTAAAATTAAAAATTAAAATCATGCTGAATATGAACGAAACTGAAAAACAATATTCTAACATTGATAAAGTAATATAATTATTAAGTGTCCCATTAAGATTTTTGGGGGATGAGTACATGTTTAGCTGGTAGAGTTGACATATTAGTCCTTCCAGGAAATTTATGGGGCTAAATTGCCTCTACTCAAAGCATCTCAGAGTTGCTGCAGAACTGCTGTAGTTTCTCTGACACAGCTGTGCATCCATGTGCCAGGCACTATGGCAGGCAGTTTACACTCAAGATCACATTTATACTCATCAGATGCTTACTATGACCCCCTGTCGTTCGAGTTGATGGCTTGTGGGTTAAGAAGGAAATCAGATGTTGATTTTAACAGGCAGAGAGTCCTTTTCATTGGTAACCCTAAGAAATGTAAAGTTCTAAAAATCATAAGTGATTCCTCTCTGAGCACCTCAGACCTTGGATCACTATAGTTTCCTTTCATCCACTCTTCTGCATTTCTAAAGGCATGAGTCTAGGGTAGGCATGTGTGTTTATACCTCACATCATTTATACTTCACATCAAGACAACTTAGAAAAACGTTACAGTAGTCCTCCCTTGTCCGTGATTTTGCTTTGCACAATTTCAGTTACCCGCAGTCAGCCATGGTCTGCAAATATTAAAAGGAAAATTCCAGAATTGAACAATTCGTAAGGTTTAAATTCACGCCATTCTGAATAGCCTGATGAAGTCTTGTGTTGTCCCGCCCGGTCGTGGAGATCATCTCATTGTTTAGAGCTGGGGTTTCCAAACTTTTGGCTTGCCTGGGTCACATTGGAAGAAGAATTGTCTTGGGCCTCACTTAAAATACAGCAACACTAACAATAGCTGATTTTTTTTTTCAATCACAATAAAATCTCATGATGTTTTAAGAAAGTTTACAAATTTGTGTTCGGCCACATTCAAAGCCATCCTGGGCCGCATGCAGCCCGTGGGCCTCAGTTTGGACAAGCTTGACTAACTGTTAGTCACTTAGTAGCTATCTTGGTCATCAGATTGGCAGAACACAGAGGGGTGAGTACACTAGAATAAGGGGTTTTGAGAGAGAAAAAAAGAGAGGACACCACATTCACAAAAAGTTTATTACAACAGAGGGGGGTGTTGAGCTGTTATAATTGTCCCATTTTATTAGTTACTGTTCTTAATCTCTTACTGTGCCTAACTTACAAATTAAACCTTACTATAGTTGTGTATATATTTAAAAAATAGTATATATAGGGGTTGGTACTATCCACAGTTTCAGGTATCTATCCACTGGGGGTCTTGGAATGTATCCCCCACGGATAAAGGGGGACCACTGTATTATCTTCTTTTTACAAATGAGAATTGTGGAGACCAAAGGGTTAAAAAACATTCCAATATAATGAATGTAACCGATTAGGGAGCGTAGGGACATGAGCCCAGGCCTGTCAACTTCAAATATCATATTATTAAGGAATCTATACAAATTGTATGAGCTTCCAAGCAAAAAGGATACGTCTCCTTAAATTGTGTCTGGATAACTTAATTAGATACTGTCTACACGGCTTTTTTGAAGGTAGGGGAGTAATGGGAGGTGACTTTAATTAATTTTAACTGATTCCCACCATCAGGGAATCTCACTGGCATTGAGGAGAAATTAGAATGAATTCAAATGGCAGGAAACTATATCTACATCCACCTCACAGTAGATATCTAGGTAGGAAGAATGTGAAAAATACATTTACAAACAGTAAAATATCAAAGGATACATTATGTGAATTTGGAAACTGAAAATATGGCTTAAGATTCTTGAAATTCACTTTGCTAATATGGTGTTACAAATATATAAACACTTTTGAAATACTTAGATAAATATTTATATCTTTATCAGTACTTTTTTCACATTATTAGTATGATCAGTCTGTAAATTTATGTAAATTGCTAGCAAAATGATTATAGCTGACTAATCAATAAATATGTTTATTAACCTCCTCACTTCTCATATTTCAGAGAACGAAGAGTTGAGCCATTTAACATGAATTGGATAAATGAGAGTGTCCCACAGGAGTTCATTCTGTTAGGGTTCTCAGATCGACCATGACTAGAGCTTCCACTCTTTGTGATGTTCCTGTTTTCCTATATCTTGACGATCTTTGGCAATCTGACAATAATACTTGTGTCACATCTGGATTTCAAACTCCACACCCCTATGTACTTTTTTCTTAGCAATCTCTCACTCCTGGACCTTTGCTATACCACAAGTACAGTTCCACAAATGCTGGTAAATATATGCAACACCAGGAAAGTCATCAGTTATGGTGGCTGTGTGGCCCAGCTTTTCATTTTCCTGGCATTGGGTTCCACTGAATGTCTTCTCCTGGCCGTCATGTCCTTTGATAGGTTTGTAGCGATTTGTCGGCCTCTCCATTACTCAGTTCTCATGCACCAGAGGCTCTGCCTCCAGTTGGCAGCTGCATCCTGGATTAGTGGCTTCAGTAATTCAGTATTGCAGTCCACCTGGACACTTCAGATGCCACTGTGCGGTCACAGAGAAGTGGATCACTTCTTCTGTGAAGTCCCTGCACTGCTCAAGTTGTCCTGTGTTGACACAACAGCAAATGAGGCGGAACTATTTTTCATCAGTGTGCTATTCCTTTTAATACCTGTGACACTCGTCCTTATATCGTATGCTTTTATAGTCCGAGCAGTGTTGAGAATACAGTCTGCTGAAGGTCGCCAAAAAGCATTTGGGACATGTGGCTCCCATCTAATTGTGGTGTCACTTTTTTATGGTACAGCTACCTCCATGTACCTGCAACCACCTTCACCCAGCTCCAAGGACCGGGGAAAGATGGTTTCTCTTTTCTATGGAATCATTGCACCCATGCTGAATCCCCTTATATATACACTTAGGAACAGAGAGGTAAAGGAAGCCTTTAAAAGGTTGGCTGCAAGAGTCTTCTTAATCAAGAGATAAGAAACATGCAAATGACAAGCTTTGCCAAAGACATAATGCTTACTTAACTTACTAACTTCTCTGCAAGTTGCTCTATTTTTTGTCATTACTATAGAGAACTATTGTAAGCTCCCTCAAAGAAAATTTCCTTGACAAACAGCTGTATTTGTTTCTGTTGCCTAAATATTTTCCTGCCAGGGTGTTAATAAAAAAATAAGGAATTCCCAAATGATAGACCTTTTAAAGACTTCAATTTCACAAAGCTTATAATTTAATTCTCTCCAAATTGATTCATTATCATTATTCTTAGAAAAATTACTATGGTGATGTTTAAATAAAATGTCATCGACAGAGAACTGCATCTGTTTTCTACTGCGTAGATATATTCAGTGCACGTCTTGAAACTGGTCTTTATGAACTCTCAAAATAGGATAGCCTTAAAAGAAGCCTCTTTAAGGCTTCAAACATCATACCAATGGTCTGTATACATGGGTAAGAGTCTTAGGCTTCTCTGAAACCAGAGTAAAAGCTTAGAAATCCTTTCTCCGGAAATAAAACATTTTGATACACATACAATGCCCTCATCCTTTCACACACACACAAACTCCATGGCACAAATCATTTTCAGACAATTGTAGATCTAACAGAAGTATCCAAAAACCTTATCTTAATTACAGCTATAAGGTTAACAGCTCTAACTTAAATTTTAACACTATTTGCACAATACTAAAATCCACAATGATTTCCCCCCACTCAATTTTACTTAGATCTTCTGTCGTTTTTGTACTTCCCACTTCTAAGTTGAAATGTCCTAGCTAGCTACCAAATAAAGTTGTAGCTACATTTTAGACCGAAATCAAATGCCTGCTATTGACCTTTTTAAATGATTGCTCTACTGTATATATTACCTCCCTTCTTTTAACCTCAAAAGCCCTTATAGGTTAAGTCATAAAAAACCACATTATATAGTGATGTCCACTGCTTGTTTAATACACACTTCTTGTCCAAAAAGAAATGCTTATTAATTTCATGTTCGTGCCCTTGGGGCAGCATAGATCGTAATTTCAACTTCTTCCACATGATCTTCAGAGCCCATAAAAGTACTAAAGAAAATACACACTATAAGTTTGTTATTTGGTTGATTTTGTGACTTGTTACACTGAAATTATATTAACTGCTTCTTCATTATTATTCTTTTTCCAATTTTTCTTTTATCAAATATGTCATAAAAGCATAAAATGCAGTAACTACAGAATACAATTAGAATGTTTTACTTGAAAACCTTACAGTAACATCATAAATTTCAGCATAATTCTAATGCAACATGGTAGATCTTAAAACTTTAACTTGCATCAGAATCATCTGTAGGGTTTTTAAAATTCGGATTGGTGGGTGTCATCTACCTCCAGACGTTCTAATGCAGTAGGTCTGGGGTGGGGCCTGATTATTTGCATTTCTACAGATTTCCAGGTGATATTTATGTTGCCTGTCAGGAGATCACCCTTTAGGAACAGCTGTGCTAACAGTTAAAATACATAAAGGTATGTTGCTTGCTGAGTTTCTTTTATTTTTAAAAATGAGTTATAATTTAAAGGAAAATAGGAGCAAAATACTAATAGAGTATATTGAAATATGAAGGGACATTCCTTAATAAAAATGCATTCATATCTTAAAGTGCAACTAAATGATACATCAGATTTCCAGAGACAATTTTGATGTCAGCTCAAAGGCAATGTCAGTGTCCTTTAAAAAATTATGAGAAAATGCTAGAGAAACCAGAGTGATGGAGATTGAAGTATTTTACATTTTAAAAAATAAGCCATTAATTGATCTAACAAATTGCATATTGGTAAGTTCTAAAGCCATATGATAAACTTTTATAAATATTTTGCCATCAGTTATCTTGTGAATATATATATATATGTATGTATATATGCATATGTGTGTACATATATATGTACATACATATATATATTCATTCTGGCTTCATTTAAAACAACAAATACTAAACTAACTGTTTTATAGAGGTAGAGGCTGATATAGTGGGAGAACGTTATATGTGTATAATAATTCTTTTTAAGATGGAGTCTCACTCTGTCACCCAGGGTGGAGTGTGGTGGCATGATTTGCAACCATTGCCTCATGGGTTCAAGTGATTCTCCTGCCTCAGCCTATGGATTTATTACAGGCAAGTGCCACCACACCTGGCTAATTTTTGTATTTTTAGTAGAGACAGGGTTTTGTCATGTTGGCCAGCTGGTCTCAAACTCCTGATCTCAGGTGATCCACCTGTCTTGGCCTCCCAAAGTGCTGGGATTATGGGTGTGAGCCACCACACCCAGCCTATAATTCTTGATTTCTTTTTCTTTTCTTTCTTTTTTTTTAAATAATTTCAACTTTTATTTTAGATTCGAGGGTACATTTGCAGGTTTGTTACCTGGGTATATTTTGTGAGGCTTCGGTTTTGGGTATGATTGATCTTGTCATCCAGGTACTCAGTACACAATAATTTTTCCACCTTTGCCCCCTCCCCACCTACCCATTGCAGTAGTCCCTCGTGTCTACTGTTGCCATCTTTATGTCTATGGGTACGCAGCGGTTAGCTCCCACTTAAGTGAGAACACATGGTATTTGGTGTTCTATTCCTTGTTAGTTCACTTGGGTTAATGGCCTGTAGCTGCATGTTGCTGCAAATGACATGTTTATTTATTTTCTGTGACTTATGTATTCCATAGTATATATGTACCACATATTCTTTATCCAGTTCACTGTGGATGGGCTCCTAGGTTCATTCCATGTCTTTGCTATTGTGAATAGTGCTGTGATGAACACATGAATTCACATGTTTTTTGGTAGAATTTTCTTTTGGATATATACCCCATATGGAATTGCTGAGTGGAATCATAGTTTTAAGTTGTTTGAGAAATCTCCAAACTGCTTTCTACAATGGCTGAACTCATTTACTTTCCCACCAACAGTGTATAAACATTCACTTTCCTCCACAGCCCTGCCAATGTCTGTTGTTTCTTGACTTTTTAATGATAGCCTTTCCAACTGATGTGAGATAATATCTCACTGTGGTTTTGATTTGCCTTTCTCTGGTGATTAGTGATGATTAACATTTTTTCATATGTTTGTTGGCTGCTTGTATGTCTTCTTCCAAGAAGTGTCTGTTCATGTGTTTTGCCCATTTTTAATGGGTGTTATTTGCTTTTTGCTTGTTCAGTTGTTTAAGTTCCTTAGAGATTCTGGACATGCCTTTGTTGGATGCCTAGTTTGCAACTATTTTCGCCAACTCTGTAGGTTGTCTGTTTACCCTGTTGATAGTTTGTTGTTGTTTTGCTATGCAGAAGCTCTTTAGTTTAATTAGGTCCCACTTGTCAATTTTTATATTTGTTGCAATTGCTTTTGAGGACTTAGTCATAAATTATTTCCCAAGGGCCATGTTCAGAATGGCGTTTCCAAGGTTTTCTTCTTCAGTTCTTATAATTTGAAGTCTTACACTTAAATCTTGGATCCATCTTTAGTTAATTTTTGTGTATGTTGACAGATAAGGGTCTAATTTTCATTCTTCTGCATATGGCTAGCCAGCTATTCTGGCATGATTATTGAAAAGGAAGTCCTTTCTCCATTGTTTATTTTTGTCAATGATCAGGTGGCTATATGTTTGTGACTTTATTTCTGAGTTCTCTATTCTGTTCCATTGGTCTATGTGTCTCTTTTGGTAGAAGTACTGTGCTGTTTTGGTTACTGCAACCTTATAGTATAGTTTGAAGTTGGGTAATGTGATGACTCTGGCTTTGTTGTTTTTTCTTAGGATTGCTTCAGACATTGGGGCTCTTTTTTGGTTCCATATGCATTTTAGAATAATTTTTCTACTTCTGAGAAAAATAACATTGGTAGTTTGATAGGAGTAGCATTGAATCTGTAGATTGCTTTGGGTGGTATGGCCATTTCAACAATATTGATTCTTCCAATCTGTGAGCATGGAATGTTTTACCATTTGTTTGTGTCATCTATTATTTCTTCAACAGTGTTTTGTAGTCCTCCTAATAGAGATTTTTCACCTCCCTCATTAGATGTCTTCCTAGGTATTGTGTGTGTGTGTGTGTGTGTGTGTGTGTGTGTAGCTATTGTACATGGCATTGCCTTCTTGATTTGGCTTTCAGCTTGAACATTAATCGTGTATAGAAATGCTACTAATTTTTGTACATTAATTTTGTATCCTGAAACTTTACTGAAGTAGTTTATCAGTTTCAGGAGCCTTTTGGCAGAGTCTTTAGTGTTTTCTTGGAATAGAATTATATCCTCAGTGAACAGAGATAGTTGCATTTCTTTTTGTATTTGGATGTGTTTCACTTCTTTCTCTTACCTGATTGCTCTGGCTAGGACTTCCATAAATCTTGATTTCTGAATAGAATTTGCAAACAATTCTTACTCTACTTCTATGTAATATGGAGCAATAATGACCGAGATGTTAAAGCAGTTCCATTTGTCCCTATCTCCTTGTAAAACCTCAACTCAAAAGGTGATGAATAAAACACTATCACCATGGAAATAAGATATTATTGTTATAAGACACGTTTTATCCTACTAGAATATGCAGTTATAAATAACATTTTTGAATTTAAAGAGAACTGACTTAATAAATTTAAAATGACACTAAACTTCCAGAAATTAATAATTCCATAGAAGTCAGAAATAAAACTTAAAAATAAAAGCAATAAACAAAAGGGTGAAATTTTAAATAAAGACAGACATATTTACTTCAATTATATACCACAGAATAGTATTAATAGAACTATAAGTGGCAGTGAATCCCATAGAAGCCCAGCTAACACATATAGATAATAAAACATGTAGATTATTGGCTTCAGTTTGAGTATTTATATCTTAAAAGATAAATTATAAAACTAAAATATCTATACAAAATAATGATGAGAGAATTGAAAAATCAGAACATCAGGCCTCTTGAAGAATTATTGAAGGCATTGATTTTTTTCAGTGTTGAATAGAAAATGCTTTGTTAAAGCATGACGCAGTTTTCTTCAAGTATTTAAAGGGGAATCATGTGCACAGCATAGTTTGATTCATAAAGGTTAGAAATCATACTAATGCATAAAAACTAAAAAGTAGATCTGAGCATGATATAAGAACACACACAGACACGCATGCGCACGCGCGCGCGCGCGCACACACACACACACACACACACACACACACACATAGATG